CCACTTAAACTCAAGGTTAGACTTAGATCCAACACAGAGCGCAACCTACTGAAAAGAAGCACGCTATATATACATATCTTATCACGAAATTATAGATTAACACAAACTTATTAGCCATTACTTAAATCATACGTCAAAAATCAGCGTGAAATTCACTGTAATGGTCATCTCTTGAAGCCATGTCATTCTCAACTCTCTCTGCTATCTTCTCTTCCTCGTACTTTATCCCTTCTTCCAGTGCTAGCCCTCCGAGTACTCCAGCCACAGCTCCAACTGCCAATCCTGTACCCATTCCCATTCCAAATTTAACAAGGAAATCAAAAAGAATTAAATTGAAGGAAAAAAATTACTAAAACGAAAGTTGCAAGAAATATGATTGTATAAAGTATTAGCAATTAAAATAATCATGTTAACAGTCAAAACGTTGATATTTAACATCATTCAATTAATTATATGACATTTATTAACAAAAATCTAAACTAACCAATGATATTCTTTTTTTCCATTTTTTTTGATATTAAGGTATCCCAACTTATACTAGACTATGTCCTGGACCACCCATCCCCAACCCCTCAGTGATGGGTAGAGGTTAACCACGGGATATGCCCAAGTTGACCAGGGTCCGTGCACCCTTAATGATATTCTTAAATAGAGTGAAAATGAATTTTTTTCTATTAAATGATCGCATATCTTGCACATAACATCATACTTGAAGATTATTATCTTACATAATGGTGAGTGCAAATGCGGTGTGATCAAATACGATATATACTGCAATTACGGTAGTTTTGTACAAAATCGGCAAGCGCGAATACTGTGAACTCAAATACTATGTAAATACGGTTTATGGTGCAAATACAGTATCTTAGGTGAAAAACAGGTAAGCGCAAATACGGTGAGGTAAAAAATTATGGTAGTTTGGTGCAAAATCAGTAAGCTCGAATACGCTAAGCTCAAATACAATAAGTGTAAATACGGTTTATGGTGAAAATACAGTATCTGGTGATTTCCAATAATTACAATTATGAAAATTGAAACATAGAAACGAAATTAAAATGAATAGATAAAATTAGATTAAAAAGGATAATATAAAAAATCAACAAAATTAAAGATTCAAGAAACAAAATTACTATAATTAATATTTTAAAAAATAAAATAATAGATAAAATTAAATCAAATTTTAAAAAAAGTCATACCGTCAAAAAAAGAAATTGAAAACATTAATTAAAAATTACACATTTTCATTTATTAAAAAAAAGAGCAAAAAAAAAAAAGATAATTTAAATAAAAGAAGGATTTAAAATTAAGAAATATATTTAACATGGAAATTAAAAGGAATTAAATAGAAGAAAAAAATTATAAAATAGCGAAAATATATTTTAAAAAAATGGGCCTCCGTCTAGACAGGATCCAGACGGCCCAGTCTGGATCCAAGCCAGAATCCAGTTTTTAAAGAATCCTAAGTTTTTGTTTATGAAATTACACCTACACCTGAAATTAGATTCCCAATTTCACAAATAAGATAACAAGTTTAACATTTCAAAAATCAGGTTTTAATTAATAATTTAAATTTTTTTTTTTATTTTTTATTTTTATATCTAATCAAACTCTAATAAATGAAGAAACCGCTATTGTCTCTCACCCATTTCCACTCTCTCTCACGTCTCTCGCCGCCTCTACCCTCGCTGCCTCCACGCTCGCTCTCTCTCTCTCTCTCTCACTCTCTCTTTCCCTACCGATCACTCCCATCCTAAAGCAGGGCCCTCCGCCACCAACAACCCCGGTCAAGCCTTGCCCCTAAACGACAACGCCAACCCAGTGTTTGGTTGGGAGAGATTGCCAACGCCTCTCTTCGCCGCCAATG